CGCATATGGCAAAAAATTCAAACTATTTGACTATAGGCTGAAAGTGCAGCTACATCAATAATGCTGACAGACCAACTTTGAGGGGGTGGGGGATATAATCGCACTGCTTACAAATAGTCTGCGTAACACTAAAAGACGCATTGGCCACTTTCGTGACTTCATCTGTGGAATTGAGATATTCTAACTGCTATACTGGCAGCCCCATTCGAGACGGTAAAGACCCAATTTATTCGAACTCTGCTGAAACACAGCCTCTTGAACACGTGACTAAACATTAAACGAAAGTGATGAGAGATGCCTGCACTTCCAAGGGTTTGCCTCAGTAAACCTTCTGCATCAGTGTGCTGTGACCCAAAGTGTAACCTGTTTGAACTAATTCTCAAATTTCGCAGTGTAGAAGAACAAACGCGCTAATTTTATGAAACAGAGCCTTAAAATGACGAATTCCTACTGATCAGAGTTATCCTCAAGTTCGTCTTTAATACCTCACTAAGCGACTGTGTGGGTGAGGGCTTCCTTTCAAGTCAGTCTATCTGAATGGAAACTGGTCGGAGTCATAACTCCTCTGACTCGAGATATCAATATGGATAATGATAAATGTCATGTTCAGTCAGAGTGATGATCTGGGAAATTATTAAGGAGGATTTTTCTGGCCGTGATCAATTAATTGGCGTTGAACGAGGTTATTTTCCGTTCAGTTTCTGATATATCAGTCTAGTCATTGAACTGCGATTCTCCCGCCGAGGGTAGACAGCATGACGAAAATGGTTCAATATACTTTCTTTAAGAATGATGCTCTAACGGCGTCGGATCAATGTACACTGAAAGATCAATATAAACTAGACTCACAGTTGCAACCTCTGATGTACGCTGCTAACTCAGACTTAAGTGAAAACGAGAATTTTTTAAGCGCCTAAATTTTCAGCGTCACTGACCGTCGAATATTTTAACCTTTAAGAAAATATGAGTCGAATCTGTAGGAAGAGCAAAATGCAATCACTCTCCAAAGAAACCACCGACCTAGATGACCAACCTAACGTGGACGGAATTCTAGGACACATCCATGCATTTAAATCTCTCGTTACTGATCACCTATCTAGAAAAACCCGACCTGCTCTGCTTCAATACCTTTGAATACGACCAGAGCCGAGTTAGCCCGTAGAAGAAAGGGTAGTCAATCGATAAGAAGGGCTTCAGGGGATTTAACCCAAAGAGAAACTGAAATATGTATGAATATAACTATGACTAGGACGCAGGTATTGATTCTAGGCGTGATGCAAAAAACCCTAAAGCGATCATGCACTGTTCCGCTGTTGTTTGGACCGTTTTTATGTAACTACTTCAGACTGTTTGTGCGCGCCTCATTTTCAACTAACTTGAGGCAAATATTTGCGCACTTAACTACTGAATTC